CATCGGTCATATATATATATATATATATATATATATATATATATATATATATATATATATATATATATATATATATATATATATATATATACATACACACATATATGCGGTCAGAGGCAGTGGGTAATACTTTTTCCAAAATCAATACTTAGAAAATCAGTGTTTTCTACCAGAGGATGATCTACTTCATATATGAGTATCAAATAATATATAGAAGAATCGCTTTTCTGACCATAATGATGACATTTCTGACATCTTATATCTACATTGACTCTAGCCGTTTCATTTGATGTTTGGACCCTTCATGTCTCCAACTCATAAAAATAAAAATAAAAATGAGAAACTCGATGGGATTAGTTCAAAAATAAATACACTGCACCCTCATGATGCTATGCACTCTAACAACTCTAATAAGTTTCCCATGGATTGCAGCACTTAGCAAACTCAGACTATTAAGTTTGAGTTCATAAAGTGGAAGAAAAAAAATTCCTGGCACGCCTCCATGTAGATAGTTCTTATATCCACTGTAAATCTGAGGACGTTTAGTACTGTAGTTGTCATATTGTAGTCATTTACTGACATTCATTCCCTTGTTTTTCCCATTTAATAGAGTGGCTAAGAGAAATGGTCTGCTGTGTCATGTCATATTTCTACTGACCTCCAGAGAAACAGGAAGTCGTGGATGCCAAAATAAACTTTGAGGAAAGGCATCTTTACTAGGACAGCCAGTAAGTGTGAAAAATTCAAACTTTAACATGGGACTTGAACTATAATTAGCTCACTAAACTGTGCTGAGCGTGTCTTCCCACTTCCCCCTTCTTCCTTCTGAAAGGCAGTTTGGGTCAAGTAAACAAAACTAAAAACCAAAGTCAAAGAAGAAAAACAACATGAATCAATTAACTAGATGGGAAATAAAGTTACTGCTTTGTAAACAACATTATTTACAAGTCATTTTTTGCAGTGAACTTTAAAACCAAGTTTCTGACTACTCCTCATTTTAGGATCATTTCCAGATAGTTGCTCATGTGTTCGGATTAAGACACAAGGATGTGATTCAGCACACGGTTTGTCAATGAAGACATCTTGCATGTTTACGTCTGTCCAAACAGAGTTGTAAAGGAAACACCAGATGTTTGCTTCATTTGCTCTTATATTAACCATCTGTGTTTTTCACTAACATCTTTTGAAACAAACCTTTTCACAATGTTTGTTCCATTCCAGCATGGCACGCCGTCACCAGAAGAAAGTCCCTGCAAACACAGCTGATCTGCCAGGCCACCGTAGAACGTGCTGAAGGTACGCAGAGTCTTCAGAAAGTCCCTAAAAAAATGAAAAGAGGCAGCCACGTGTAAGCGTGCATAATGTTTACTTCTTCAGATCTAGTTAAAACTAAAAATAACTGCTGACTATGCGGTGTGTGCTGTATGCCTTTGACTTCCACCTACTTTCTCATGACAGAAAGTGAATCGTCCGACCGCCTGTTCAGAGCTTTGAGCGGGATGGAGACTCTGCTGTTCGCGTCCTGGATGCTGACCGACTGAGCTGGCCTCCTGATTGATGTGCTGCACAGTTTCTGAACCTAATGCACAGTAAAACAGCCACAAATTTAATTTCGAAACACTGAGGGAAGAATGTGTATTTTAAGAACTGGATAACCTTGTTAAACATTATTGAGGCTTCAACTGTGAGATTTGTTTGTAGACGGCTGAGTGATAACTATTTGTATTACGGCCATTAGGGCAAGCTAAGGCTTTCAGCTCCAATTTCTCTCAAGTTATGTCTATTTGCCAAACAGCAGTTACTCATGTTGTCCACTAGATGGAGATGTGGTGTCTTAATTAGTGCACTGCAACTCAGTGTAGCTCAGGAACAAACATCTGTGGAATTCACTTTACAACCAAAAAGATATAGAGCTTGGGAAAAAAAAAAAACATTTGAAACGGGGCCTTTATTGCCCACCTTTTCTGGAAGGTGAAAGAAAAAGACCACCTATAAAAGATGATAAATGGGTGGCAGCTCAAGGACTGGTGGTTTTCTCCATATATAGACGAAGTCCTCCTGTATCTGTAGGTTTATATACTTTTAGCTCCTCGCAGCGACCCACACAGATATTTTTAAGGCAATTTACCCTTTCCTTCTTCAAACTATCTGTTTTGTACGTACAGAAGGAATTTATCTTTGGCCTAAAGACTGCATACCTCTCTAACGCGGAGCAAGCAGCTCCACAATAAAAATTGCTCCAGGCCAATGTGAAGCACTTTATTTTTTGTTTATCCAATCACACCTGCGGGTGACAGTGGGTTCACCTTCTATAAAGAGCCCCGAGATACATTCAAATCTACCATCAAAAGCAATTTTTACGTCTCTGCTCGTGATCTAAACCTGTGCCGAGAGGCGAGGTCCATTTTTCTGAGCGTGCCCGATAGCATCGTGAAGCATCGTGTGAGCTCCCAGAAGCACTTGCTCCAAATCCTGAGCTCCATGCATCCTCGCTGACAGGCCCTCCAGCGAGCGAACAAACTCCCTCCAGTGGGCGTCGATCTCTGCCATGCTCGCCAGACACCCCCGCATTACGTTGAGGCAGTAGCCCATGCAGGGCTTGGAATGGGTAATGCCCTGTGGAGGAAAGTGCTCCGAGATTAGCGCTGCCGGTAAGCACACTTCATTAACTCAGATCAATAGACTTGCATCACAGAAATGTAACCACACCTGACAATGGGGACAGTACTGCATCTTGAGCAGGGCCCGCCTGCATTCACGGCTCAGCTGCAAATGGTCCGTGGTGTTAATGACCTCGATGCCGAGGTGCAGAGCCTGCAGCAGCAGCTTCCCAGAGACCCCAGAGGCAGCGATCTGATCGGCGAAGAGGTCCGGCACTGTACCAAATGGTTTGATAACGCGGTTGAGTGACCTCACACACTCGGCATAGCCTGGCGACGTGTCACCGACACCTGGGCTTATGTAGTGATTGTAGACAAGCGGGAGGAGTGCGTCGAAGAAGCGCTGCACAAACTCATCAACGTTGAGCTCAGAACCCAGCAGGAAGAGACCGACGTCGGTGAAGAGTTCCCTCACCGAGTCGGCAGCAGGATCAGCTATTTTCTGATAAGACACCTGGAGGACGACGTTGGTGTGATTCTCCGCCTGCCTCATCAGAACCTCGAAGGTCTCTGTAGAATACAAAACAGCAGAGACGGACGAATCAAAACGGAGAGATAGAAGAACGAAGAGATGCCGCAGCTAATTTTAACATATCATCTTCAGCATCAGGCCAGCTTTGCTGCTTGTTGAGAGTTTTAGAAGAAAAAAAAGGAGAGAGAGAGAGAGAGAGAGAGAGAAGTACAAAAGTTCAAAAGAAAAGAGAAATGTGGAGAACAATGTTATTCCCAGCAGGGGCTGCAGCTCCCTGAGGTTTCCTCTTCTAGAAAGCAGGGAGCAAACATGTAGTGAAGCAATTTCTTCTCTAACCTAAGATTTTGCTGACAAAAACGGAAATAGAAGGGTACAAAACTTCAGAGAAGAAACAGTGGTGATAAAATATACGCTTCAGAACAATGTAAATGTGCCGTCTTTATAGCAGCAAACAGCAGGAAGTTGAAGGGTGAGGCTGGACTGGCCACCAATAACAAAGTGTGACATGGTGCTAAAAAGCTACGGTTAAAACGATCTGGAGTAACCAGAGTTTTTTGTTTTTGTCCAGCTGCATGGAGCATAGAGTAACACAGCACTGCCCCTTCCCCACCTGTTGCTTTGCAACACCAACGAACTCTTTAAAAGAAGGCTGCTGCACTTTTCCTTCACTGCACATATGGAAACATGCACATGAAGCATGCACATGTTTGGAACCATTTCTGGTTCTGATGATAATACATGAATAGTCAGAGATTGGAAAACAAAGGAGCTTCTCGCAGTACTCCTGGTAAAGTGAAGCTGTTTTTAAACTATAGATGTCAAGCAGCTGTCTGGGGCTCCGCCCATGCAGATAGCCCAATAATTTATGAACAAATATTAGCTAGTCATATTCCCAGTGGAAGAGGGGAATGTCAAAAGGGGATAGAATTTACCAGGTGTTTATTTCTTAACTCTGCTTGAGGGTATGTATTTAAAGTAGCTTTTGTAACAGAAGTTTGTTTTAGATTCATGTGCAAGTATTTCTGTACTGTGGAACTATGGCATTTTTACTCAAAGTTACACCTTGAAAACCTCAAAAGGGCTCATTCCTAGAGACAGGCAAAGCAAAAAGAAATCATATATTACAAAAAAATTTTACACGCTTGCCTAGGTTTGCACAACATTTTGGCATGGTAATTATTCTACACTGAAATAAGCTGTAGTCATAAACAAGGAGCTAATTGGTTTAGTTTAGGTCAAAGATGGAGGAAAATGTAAGATCCGGGAAAGTAAGCACCTCACCATCTGGTTTGGCAGCCTGTGTTTTTTCCCACGTAACAGACGACTTTTAAATGTGAGATTTAAACAGAAAATTGAAAGAGCTCACCAAATCCTTGCAGAAGAATCATAATTTCTGATTTGAGAAATCTTCCGAGGCTCAGCAAGTTTACGGTTTGCCTTAAACGTTTAGGGGTGCATGTTGAGTGTATGCAGAGCACACCTTATCTAAAAGAGCCGATAAGATCTATGTAATTTAGCGGCCCTTTCAGGACATTTCTCCCCCCCTTGTCTCTGCCCCTTTTTCTGTGAATAAAGGCCACTTGTGCCACAACTTTGTAGATAAAATAAACAGTATTTGTCCAAAGTTCTGCATTTTTTGTAAAGACAGCAATTCTGGTACAAATAACACATTTGTGCAACACTTTTGTCAGCAACACACGAGAGACTAGGTTTTGCAGGCTCTCCAAGACTTTTTTTTTTCACACAGTAAAGTGTAATCTAAGCACACACAAAAAAAAAAATTCACAGCAACAACAAGCTCGCTTTTATCCTTTTGTCGCTCTTTGATCATATTTATCTCAACTAATACCTGATCCGCGGCTGCTTTCGGATCATGTGCTCGTCATGAGCTGTGAGGTAATAGAAGGGGGAGAGCACCCGGAGCTGGCCAGAGGCTGAGTCTGAGAAAGAGGCGGCAGCCAATGAGATGAGGTCTTACACAGCCAAAATGCAGAATAATATGCACTCATATGGAAAGCCTGACCAAAAAGGACCCCTTTGTGAGGGCCACCGCAAGGGGAAAGAGAGAGGGGGGGTCTGGCAACATCTCAGGGGGGAACATTAAACCTGGAGGTACCAGGAACCGAGTCTTATCACAGCCCCTCTGTGATCTTGCCTCAATGTGTTATGTCTAACAAGATCAGAGACTGAAAGAAGTGTTTTTGTGCAAAAACACAAAAAGAAATCAGCACCTCCTACACAACAAGCTTTGTGGTCAGAGAGCAAAGCAAATATCAGACAGGGAATCTGCAAAAGCAGAGAGAAAGACAAGAAAATCTGTTCATGTGTGAGTTGATGAAACAGAACGTCGCCTCACTCATGAGACAGAGACACAATACGAGACCAGAGAGACGCTGAGATTACTGTGGAGCTTAGGAGCAGGATTCTGAACATCACATAAATGTTGTGGATCCCGTCTGTCAAAATAGAGCATTTTTTGTAAGAGAAGATTGTTATATGTTCTCTCTTTGAGAACAGAAATGTTGTATTTTAATAACAATAAGGATTTTTTTTCATGGATTTTCTTTTTTTTATTTAGATTTTTATAGTTGTCAAATTATTAAAACTTGATCGATCATTATGTTGTCTAATGATTTAAGTATCACTCTGAGTAATCGTATAAGTACCTCTACAAAATTTATATATTGTGGAAAAAGCTCAATATTTTTTGTCACTCAGAAAGAGAGTCTCGTATATGATGTAGCTTTATTACACACAGAGTGAAATATCTGAAGCCCTTATTCCTTGTAACGCTAATGATTATGGCTTACAGATAATGAAAACCCAAAATTCACTGTCTCGTAAATTTGGAATACAAAAATTACATTTGAATCAGAAATGCCAGGTTTCTGAAACCTTGTTCATTTCTATGCACCCAATAACTCCTTTTGCATTAATTACTGCATCGAAGCAGCGCGGCAACGGAGATGATCAATCTTTGGTACAGCTGAGGCGATGGAGGCCCAGGTTGCTTTGATAGCAGGTCTGGTCTCTATCATCTTCGTCTATGGTCAATCAAGTACCGTGGACTGAACCAGCCTTTTTATAACTTTCGCAGTGTGGACAGATGTAAAGTCTTGATCGATGAAGATATCAGCTTCTCCATAAAGGTGTCAGTCATTATTATTATTAGGTTATTTCAGACTCTAGAGGCTGACAAGTCCTCTGTGCTTCAGTTCTGACCTGTGCTGCCCTAACAGCATCTGGCTGGACAAAGTTAATCCTACCAGAAAATCATGATATTCTGTGATAGACAGACAAAAACCACAATGAAATATAGAAAGAGACTTTTTTTAAAGCCTTTTTTTTTTCAAGAACATAAGTATTACATTCCTTGTTCAGTAGAAGGAGATTCATTAGAAAGCCAAACTCACTCCTTAGCTTGTGGATTGTTTAGTGTCAGAGATCAGACTGATATAAAGGGAAATGCTTGTGCTTCTGGTATGTGGGAGAACAGTGAGAGGAGGCTGAAACTTTTCCAAGGTTTGTTAAATTTTTACTAAACTGGCTGTTTATTTCTGCATTTAGCAGCCGGTTTCATGCCCAGAGCATTACAGCCCATTAAAGCTTTGAACATTTTAATTCTAACAAAAGCAGAGACTGCATTTCATAAATTAAGACTTTTAGCAATCCTAAAAGGTTGGGGGGGGGGGGGAACGTCTCAGTTGAAAGACGAAA